TTGTATAGCTCAAGCTTTGGCTAAGTTATTAAGTGGAAAACACTTAGGAAAACACAAGTCCTTTACCTGAGAGCTGACCCTCATCACATCTTGGCATAGCAGAGATGCATCGGAGTCCCTTGGAGAAATGTGTCTTCTCCAGCAACCCTCTAGTAGAAATTTTCATTTGAAATCAAGTTCTTATCCTGAAAGGGATTCTCTGGATCTATCTAGAGTTAGATAAAAAGATCTAGATAGAGTGAGAAGGAAGAACCATACAAAGTTATTTGCTCTAACGAGTTTATTTAGTATCTGTTCCAAGCACCTAGATGACCTATACTTTAAATAATGAGGTTAGTACAATGAAGTTTGAAACATGTGCTAACAGTCAGAAGCTGGACAAGATCTGGAACCCAGGGGTTATGCAGACATGGTAAATAACAGGTGCTGTTGCAAAGAGCTTACAGTTTGAAAGACAACGAGTAACAGGCATGTGAGGTAAACTATTGAGTTTAGACAGGAATCTAGGTAACAAAAATAAATAGCATCCTTTATCCTGAACTCTAATGAACACAGATTGCAGCAAGTTCTTAGAATGGCCCTTTTCCAGGTCTGTCTCACTGAATTCTTTATTCATATATATACTTTTAAGACAGTATGATTGGCTTCAGCTTCTATGCATATACTTCTAGATGAATAGCAGTTGTCTAAATTATTTTATCTACTTTGATTACATTACCCCCCCCAAAAAAAACCCCACAGTTCTGAAGAGAAAGTGTATTAAGCCAGCTTAATTACCCTTTAGACCTTGCCAGAAATCACAATATAAAAATAATAGGCTGCACTCATCCTGAGGGCATATGATAGGCAAGCTGTGTGTTCAAGCTAATATTAGTGTTTAGATATGCTCCCAAAGGAGCAGGATTCACTTCTTTAAAGAAAACACACAGAACTTTTGTAGTACACATCATACACCTCTGGGCCACACACTGTAAAAAAAAAAAAAAAAAAAAGCTTTTCCAGCATGCCAGCTGTAAATTAAGAAGTGATGTGGATAGATAATATTTCTGGATAGCACAGATACAAAGCAGAGTGCCCATGCTCATCCTGATATCGAACAGATGCGACGCTCCTTTGGTACTGCCCAAACTTTGGAAAAATCAAGACTGGTTCTGTTTGCAGACTAAAGTGTTTACTGAGGCTAAACTTTGACGACGTGCAGCCTGATAGTTTAGCATTTCCTAGCATTGGTATCATTGAGCAAAAGGTATCACTTGTTTGCTACGAAGCCCAGTATAGTGTAGTAACGAATTCGTGTCACAAGATGGAGCTTCAAACCAGCTGTAATGGTATCTCCACAAAGGCAGTTGCCGGTTGGTTTGGTGGTTTGTTTTTTTTTTTTTAAATAGGAGCAGCAATTTCATAGCATATTTAAAATTTATTCCAAAAAATACACAGTATCCAATTAATTAGAGTCATTATGATGAAGGATTTATGGAATGAAATTATAAGAATGTATTTTCCTGAATACATTCACAGTAATATACTAAGTAGACATATAAAGATAAAGCAATTTAAAAGCATTTGCGGTGAACAATGGATGGGCCAGCTTCATCATATTCCTGTTTGCTGATCCACATCTGCTGGAAAGTAGACAGGGAGGCAAGAATAGAGCCTCCAATCCAGACGGAGTACTTACGTTCAGGAGGAGCAATGATCTGTTTAAGAAATAAAAGCATTAAATACAGCTGTCCATTGTGAATAAAATACATTTGTTATACAAAAATATCAAAGCAGTGATATTTGACATTAACAAAAACACTGTATCTATGTGCTAGTGTCGTCCCAAGCCATTGCTGCAGTTAGCCGTTGCTGCAAGCAGTAAAGTTAAAAAGTTGTTATTTAAGTCTGAGTCTAAATCCTCAATTTCTCTGCCTGAGTCAGTCTGCCCAGTAAGAGTATAGCACATTTGTGTATTCATGACAGCATATGAGAAAAGGGGAGATGAATGCCCTGGAAACATAATGATAGCCCAGGTGGGCTTGGAAAAACAAGTGACCTATGGAGCACTCTTACTGGTATAGCTGATAAAATGTTTGCAAAGCAAGGAATGGAAGATGTGAAGCAGCAGAATGAAGAGCGGCTTGTCAGAGACACTTTCATTTCTGAACTTGTAGGCCAAGGACAAAATCAGCACTTCCTCTCTCTCATCTCCATCAGCCAAAAGGGGCTGAAGAAGCTCACATATAGCCCCAGAGGAAAATTTATGCTGCTGGGCCCATGCTATTCTTCTTTGGCCATGTTGGGGCAGTTTGCAGAATTCACCATGAACAAGGAAATGAGAGGAGAGAAGGCTCTTTTCTTCCAGCAACAAGGTTACCAGGTGGTGATTATTTGCTAGAAGGTATAGACATGATTCAAAGTATGTACAAAGCACTTACTTTGTAAAGTGTTGCTATGTTTCATTAGATTTTTTTTTAGGACGTCATACATGCCAAATCAAATAGTCTACAAATAATTGCACCATACCTTGATCTTCATAGTGCTGGGAGCCAGAGCAGTTATTTCCTTCTGCATCCTGTCTGCAATACCCGGGTACATTGTAGTGCCTCCAGACAGCACGTTGTTGGCATAAAGATCCTTTCTAATGTCTATATCGCACTTCATGATGCTGTTGTAAGTGGTTTCATGAATGCCAGCAGACTCCATGCCTGGGGAAGTTACAGAAGAACACTGAGGAAGCCACTCCATACAAAGACTTAAAATTGTTAACACAGAACTGACAACATGAACTTCAGTGTCTCTTTGGAAGACATCAGTCTCCAGAGCTGTGGAAACCTGGAAAGTCATTCTGCAGCTGCCTAAATTATTTGCTTAGGAGTTCCTTGGTGCACAGCCTTCCTCTCACACTTGTGCACAGAACTCCTCCTTAAAAAAGAAAGCTGGGGGTGTGGAATAGTAAAGTTTCCACTAGGCTTTTGCAGGCAATCTCAAATGTCCTAAGAATTCCTTATATGGTCTTGGAATAATTTGTTTTCTTTTTTCTTCCTGCCCCCCCCCCCCCGCTTTTTTTTTTTTTTTAAATTGAGCCTGCTCAGAGACAGAACAGTCCGAATATGTCCTAATACTTCTAAGCATGCAACTACTTCATCTATTTCTGAGCTGAAATTCTGCCAATTGGCAGAACGCACACTGGATTTCTGTATGACCTTGTTGTAAGTCTGCCTTCATGGCTCTTGATTGTGTTGGCTTTGCTCTGCAAATGTGATGAACCATGGATTCAGAATTTGGAGTAGTCTTTTTAAAAAACAGAAGTAGTGCTTCCC